AAATTGCTAGAAAAAGTATAAAATATTTGGGATTTCTAATTGAAAATGGAAAGATACAACCAGTACCTGATAAGGTTGACAAAATAACAAAATGGCATGTTCCAAAAAATAAAAAGGAAATACAACAGTTTTTAGGTTTGGCAGGTTACTACCGACAATTTATTCCAAATTATTCAGAAGTTACAGCACCTTTGACAGATTTAACAAAAAAGAGAAAAACTAAAGAAATAATTTGGGGCAAGAAAGAACAGCTTGCTTTTAACAAGGTAAAAGAAATCTTAAACGCATTGCCTCATAGATATGCTCCTGATTTTGAATTACCATTTCTAGTTCAAACAGATGCATCAGAAAGAGGAATTGGAGCAGTCCTGTCGCAGAATAAAAATGGTAAAGAATATCCTGTCATGTATATTAGTAGAAAATTAAGTGAAAGAGAAAGGAAATATTCTACAATTGAAAAGGAAGCCTTAGCTGTGAAATGGGCGATCCAATCTTTTAAATATTATTTGCTGGGCACAACATTTATTTTAATGACCGATCACGCTCCCCTGCAGTGGTTAAACAAAATTAAGGACTCTAATGCGAGATAGACCAGATGGTATCTTAGCCTACAACCTTTTTCTTTCACAGTCCAATACAGGAAGGGGGAAAATCATATTAACGCGGATTATTTTTCTCGACAGGATATCGAGGAGAACATAGATGTCGAGAGGAAGGCCCACTCAAGGGAGGGGGCGTGTGAGGAAGAAGTAGGAAAAGCATCAAAGAGTGAGCCGTCCCCTCAACCATCCGAGATAGATCAAGAGATAAAGTCTGACAGGGTAAAGAAAAGCAATTAACAGATGCGCGTGCCAAGGAAGAGAGAAAGATCCACGAGGCTGAGATAGGAGAGTGGGAAGGCGGGGGAAAGCGTGAGGAGGAGAAACGGAAGAAATGGTCAGAGGCGGCAGTGGAGAGAGAAAAGGGAGATTGGAGCAGTAACAGGGAGAGTGTAGACGTATTTTTGACAACAGAAGGGAATAGATCAAAGGCCAGTCCCACAGAAAAGACCGGACGAGGGCGATATCAATGAAGAATACAGAGATCCAGCTAAAGGAAAGTTTAGACCAATAATACCCAGTCTTAGCCCTGAAGAATGGACAGTTCTGGTATATCACAGGGCTCACGGTCCAGAGAAAATGGTACATCAATTCGATCCGGAAGTAGAGAAAGAGCTGTTGAAAGAGGGGGATTGGGCCCGCTATCCCTGTTGCGGGATCCTATGTGTGGTCTGCGACGGATTCATGAGAATGGCAACCGAGAAAGAGAAAACTGCGAAAACTTACTATTAAAAGATTTACCTGTTGAGAAATCGTTAGCCTGGTTTTGGGACGATTCTCCACCCGATTTGACATTAGAGAAACCAGTTGAAGTTGAAGAACGAGTTAATACAAGTTATGTTAAAAAAATGCTTTATTTCATAATCCTGAAGCCTCTTTCGTCTTTCCTGAAGTAGAATATCCTAGGAATACTGCAGAACCCCCCCCCACAGTTTTGTTTTATTTTATTTCTTTTGTTTTCTTTCCCTTTAAAGGGAGGCGGACCAAGTAGGGTGACTTGAGGCGGGTACGCCATGTAGATGCAAGCGTCCCACCAAATGGCATACCACATGTCTACATGATATTAAGCAACCCTATTTAGCCTGATCCTAGGAGTACGACAAGGCTGTATATTGTCTCTCTGCGTATTTAACTGATGATGATGATGATGATGATGATGATGATGATGATGATGATGATGATGATGATGATGATGATGATGATGATGATGATGATGATAGTGTTTCGCCTACAAGGGGAAGACTGATCAAGTGGCTTCTGTGTCTGCTGGGTCTCCTACTATGGATTCACAAATTCAAGGACACTGATCTCCCTCCTTAAGGCTGTTTTTCTTTTAATTAGACTTTGACTGGACAGCTCTTCAAAAAGAGGACTGTTCCTCGATAAAGGAGGCTGCACAGCCACCCTAGTGCCATGACCATCAACTTCAGCATAGAGAGTGTTGTCAGGTCAGCAGAATCCCATTCACATCATGATCGCCTTCTCTCCTTTGTTGGTAAACAAGTTCTCTTTATCCTATACTGTACTGGAGAAAGACTGACCCCTAGAGAGCAAAATCTAATTGCATGCCAAGAGGTGGCAAATTATTTGATCTTCATAGGCACTCAGGCGTTGTTTGTTATTATGGGCCATCAAGTCTTATGGTCTTATGGTCACCCAGTGAATTAACGACCTTCAAATGGTCCTGTCTGGAACAACCCTGCCCAGGTCTTATAAATTCAAAATTATAGCTTCCTTTATTGAGTCAAGCCATCTCATATTTGGTCTTCTTCTCTTCCTGCTGCCTTCAGTTTTTGAGGCACTACATCCTTTTGTTTAGTGTAGTAAGTCGCAAACAGATTAGGCTCACTGAATCAGAGTGTAATTGGTTAGTTAACTCCTTTGAAATTGGCTTTATTTTATCTAGAGCCCTTTGATCTCTCTTTTTTTAATGCTCCATGTTATTCATAAAGCAATCTTCCAACACCTTATTTCAAATGAATCATTTTTTTTTATTCCAACTAGTTTCTTCACTATCCAGCTTTCACATTACAGTGACTGGAAATATTACTGAATTACAATAGGACTTCATCCTAGCTCTTTTTCTAGTTCCTTTATAGCTGCCTTTCCAAGACTTGATTCTGAAAACACTGTCTTCTAATATCTTGGATGCAAGCTCCACTTAGATTGACGATTGAACTGAGATGCACATTTTCTGGGTTTTTTTCATTAACAATCTATACCACACAGTCTAGTTATGGGGAATCAACATATTCAGTCTCTACAGGCTTGAGTTAATGATACGACCCAAGGACTCAGGAGGACGAGGGACTCGCCTGGGAGAGGAGGATCCAACTGTCGTTCATATATTCATTTCCTTCCCACTGCATTAAAACGCTGTATTAACTATTCACTTTTACTTGAAGAACCAAACTGGCCTTTGACCTCAGATATTCAAGACCTAAATCACTTCTCTTTGGAATTAGGGCCAATGAACATGCAGTGATTAGTTTATGCTAAACATCTTCCACACACATGGCAAACACACACATTTATTTTAATGTGACAAAGGGAGAGACGGAACATCACCAGTGAAGTTTTCAAAAGGGAGCTGGACGAGTGCTCAGCCAGCATGTTCAGGACCACGAAAAAAAGGTGTGTTATTGTTTCCAAATTAGGCCATCATGTTCCAGAAGGCATGACGGGTCCAAGTGCATGTGGCCCACTGCGTTCCTGTCAACCCTGGCTTTTTGATGCACCAACTTCTTTTATTCTCACTGAAGCCAGTGAAACCCAGTTCTAGCAAGGAATGGGTAGAGATAAGGGTCTCAGCCTTCAAGTCATACCACGTGCAAAAAACCAAACTTCTCTCCCCCTCCAACTCAGCTCACCATAAGATTTTTGTCCCCTTCCCTCAAGATGAAAGGAACTAAATAATTCCCTGAGATCTGAGAACGCGACTTACTTCATCTATAGGCTGGTTAACTTATGGCAAATGGCAGAATACAGATAAAATCAATTAATACATAAGATGTGTGGCATCCATTGCTTCTGATGTAGAGTTCAGCTCGTAACCCATTACTGGGTCTCTAACAAGGGCTGCTGCAAGAGGACAGTCCTGCCTATGAGCAATTGCTACTGAAGCTGCAAGAATTCCCAGCTAGCTGGCACCCCATGCACGGGCAGAAGGAAACATGAAACTCTCAGGCTTGCTATGGGACCAGTATATCTATTACATGCTCCAACCCAAGCTGTTTTTTCCATACTTCTGTCCTTTTCCCACATATGCCAGTTCCAAGTGACCCAACTTTATCCAACATGGCAGCAAAACCCTGGGTGCCAAAATTACTAGTTACAACTGTAATTACTAGTTACAGTTCACTCCAGAGCAATTTATGCACCCAAATGGATGTATAGGCCTCCCAATATTAGCTTTGGAAAACCCCAGTAGCCATATGTCTCTCTCTCTCTGTGTGTGTATCTGTTTTACACTGTATAACATTAGAAGACTCATGATGGCCACTAAAGTCAACCTGCAGAATTTCCGGCAGCTAGCTTCAGAGATTTCATAGTAAGCACCTTTAAAGTTTCCTCTCATTTTTATTATTTACAAAAGGGAAAAGGAATAGAGCTGAATCAATTTGTGCCCTTTCTCATTTGACGAGTTTTGCATCACCTTCAGAACTGAATCTGTCTGTTCTGTTTTGATCTGGACCTCCAACAAATCAGTCCATATCAGGCTGATCTAGCTAATCATATAGGATTGGCCCAACCCTAGCAAAAATTGCTGTCCTTAATGGAGTCTCTCCACCGCACCCTGCCCATCACCGTCCTTTTCATGCAGTTCCATACTCCACGATGGAGTGCATGTGGTCCTTGGGTTGCATATATTTGCACCTAGAAAAACTGCGGAAGAAGGCGGCATCCTATCATTCCAAGATCCAAGACTGTAGGCATGATGGGGGAACTTCCAGCAACCAACTTTTTTTCCTGCTTGGCTGCTTTTCCCTGCAGCCCAAGAATTAACTCTGTAGCCTATCATGCTGAAGCCAAGCACCCAATGTGTAAAAACAGCTTAACCACCAACTTTATTTATTTTTTAAATTTGTACCCCGCCCATCTAGACCGAAGTCTACTCTGGGCGGCTAACAATAATAGATAAAATAAAAACAATATAATAATAAAAAACAACAGTAGTAATATAGCTCAAGATGGGGGAAAAACATTAAAGTAATGACAGGAGGGAAAGCCTGCCTAAAGAGCCAGATCTTAAGCTTGCTCTTGCTCAACTTCTTAGCACCCATGACGCTCTAAAAAGCCTTCTTACCTAAAACCTACTTCATTCATGTCTGCTCACTGGCACGCCTCGTGCCCTAAGACCCAGTCACCAGTCAACCAGTTCAAGTCTTAGAAAATAAATACCTTGGTCAGAATATCACGGTTTAATTGGAAGAAATTCAGCTGCCATAAGCATCCCAGAAAAGGTAGAGGAGCCGGTCCGGGAGGGAGCTGTTTTCTTATCCCTTGCAATTTGACAAACTGGACAATCAGAAGGCCCAAAATGAAGAGAAGAAACAGGTAAATGAACGGCAGCATCTCCTCGCCGCTTCCTGGGACAGAAACACTTTGTGTTGGGGTGGTGTGAGTGGAGGGTTTTTTTTTAACTCAACAAGCGCTCTCCCATGGGTGTGCTCGTACTCAGGATTCTTTATATATATATATTTTCTTCTCCTGCCTTCCTACTTTGGTACACTCTTTCCTTCCCCTATCAAACAGCTCGAGGCATTTTTTTAGATGTCAGAACTTGTTCCGCTCATGGTATCGTGGGAAAAATCAAGAGGGGGGGGAAGTAATCCCGAGATGAATAATTCAAGAGGCGTCTTGCCACACTCCATTCGAAAACTGCAGCTGGCAGAGGTACATTTACATCTGCTGCCTCCCGACAGCGGATTTGCCCGCGTCATCAGGCGGCAAAATATGTCCAACGTCCTCATGTTTAACTTATGGGCTTGCCGGGTGATGCTTGGAAAGGGTTGGAAAGGTTAGCACCCAGAGAAAGGTGGCTGGGGATATCAGTGAAGATACTGCTGGTGCCTCACTGGCATCAGCCGGCCCTGGCGGCCAGGGGCTTTTTGAATGATCAGCAAATGTTTCCTTATCTCACTTGCCTTCCACTCTTTAGCTAGACTTGAGAAAGAGCTGATTCCAGGACAATGGGAGATGAGAACCAGTTGGATGCTGTGAGGGGAAAAATGGGACTATAAAGTGCTGGTCACATCGCAGATTATAATTCTGTCTGGATGTGCTGATTATTCAGAAATTCCCACCTGCGCTCCGTGTACCCTTTTGCATTTTAAAAAGTTTGTGCCCGGAGACCTGGCTCTGAGATTTTTCTACCTTTTGCTTTAAATGCATTGTATTCTTTTCCTTTAAGACATAATAAAGTTTCCTTCCTTTTTTGAAATAACCCAGCCTTTCCATTGCCCCTTGGTTAACATTCCAGAGATTTTCCCTGACCAAGGGAGTGGGAAAGCCAGGCAAGGGCTCAGAGTTATTTTGGGAGGGGTGTGTGTGTGTTCTTTTGTTTATCGCACCTTCCAGATCCAGGAAAAGACCTGACCACAGAATTCTTCCCACCTCTTGACTAAGAAGTGGCTCTGTTCAATTTGGATGAATCAAGGAGGGGGAAGTGGTGGCCGCTTCTAATTTAAGGTGATGTATCAGAGCTGGATCATAAAGAAGGCTGACTGCCAAAGAATTGATGCTTTTGAACTGTGGTGCTGGAGGAGGCTCTTGAGAGTCCCCTGGACTGCAAGGAGAACAAACCTATCCATTCTGAAGGAAATCAACCCTGAGTGCTCCCTGGAAGGACAGATCCTGAAGCTGAGGCTCCAATCCTTTGGCCATCTCGTGAGAAGAGAACTGCCAGACTTTCCCCAGCTGCCTTCTCGGTTTTATTCATGTTCCCTTCTTTTTACAATAGTTTCTGACTGCATCTCCAACATTTCAGATTTCAGAAATCTTTGAACAATCTTAGAGCTGCTGAGTTGGAAAGGACTCTATGGATCATTGAGTCCAGCCCGAGTCGAGGAGGCACCGAGGGGGAATCAAACTCCCAACCTCTGGCGCCACAGTCAGATGCCTAAACATCCCTCTTGAACATTTTTTTCTCCAAAATCTCTATCCATCAGTCCTTACCCAGCTCCTCTTTAAATGGGTTCCCTTAAAGATCAGAGTACATGCCTGATTATGCTCAGATCAAATTTCTCGTTTCATAGTATCATGAATTCCAAAATGACACGACCGCTCTTCTCTGAGACTCCTGTTGCTTTGGTCTCACCCACTTGGTATAAATAAAATTTACACACATGATGGACACTCACAGGAATGAATTAAATATAAGGCTAGGTTCCTTTAGCCATTACCAAATGTAACACTTTGGCTGTTATCCAATGCCACCGTAATTTTCTTACCATGCCCATCTCTCATCACAAGGCTCTAAGGTTAAAGACATGGTAGCAGTCTTCCAATATCTGAAGGGTTGCCCCAGGGAAGAGGGCATCGATTTATTCTCCATGGTGGAATTTCCTGACGGTGAGAACCATAAAGCAGTGGAACAGCTTGCCTCCCGATGGGGTGGGTGCTCAATCGCTGGAGGTTTTCAAGAGAAGATTGGACAGCCATCTGTCCTGGATGGTATGAGGTTTGAGGTGGCATGAGGTCTCCCGCCTTGGGCAGGGGGCTGGACTAGAAGACCACCCAGGGCCCTTCCAACCCTATGACGATTCTATGATTCTATGAAAATTCTCTGTATTCCCTACACTAAAACATGTGATTCCTCTGTTAACTTCTTTCATTCTGTCTTTTCCTTCTTGGGATTTACTGCATCTTCAACCTCTCCCAAATCCCCTCTCTCTTCTCTCCCCCCCCAACCCCATCTCTGCTTAGACCTGGTGTCTGTTTTCCAACATCTTGAAGTATTTTTACAACAGGATTGTAAAACAAACATAGACCTAACCACTGCATGTAACTCACGAATGTGAAACGGATATTTCATCTACCTTTCATTCCATTCCATTTTGTCTCTTAAGGTCTCACAAAGTGGAGGTGTCCAGGAAAGCTTACATTTAAAATATAAGTTTTTTGTCTCTCTCTTTTATATTGTTTTGCTTGTTGCTGTTTTTTGTTTCTTTGGATTTTGCCTGATATGCTCGGTTTTTCCCCGATTCTCATGATTTGCTTTCAGGACAACAAATCTCTTCTTTTTTTCTTTTTAATACTGAGAGGTGAACGTTGTTAGCAAGGCAGGTATTTATAATGCACTAAGAGAGAGAGAGAAACTCCCTCATTAACTATCTCACCCTGCAAACCTTTCTAATGTTGCATAACTTGGAACTGACTTGAAGGCGCATAACAAGAACAAACAAATATCTGTATAAATATGGTTTTAAAAGTACTAAGCTACTCTGGGGCTGATCTTTCTAAAACAATTCTGTGCCCCTGGTTAAAGTTCTGTTTAACTCTGTTCACTCCCCAATTTTGAAGAAACTGAAGGGACATCTGCTCTTTTCCATTGCTGTGTTCAACGTCTGTCTCAAATTAAGATCGCTGTTCCAGGGTCATGACATGTGATACCAAATATCCTCTACTCATCCGTTTCTCTTTGTGCTGGTTTTATGCTGAGAACCTCCCAAAAAAAGCCCCTCAAGCAACAGATTATATTTTTACTAAATCAGCAGGAAAACCTCCCACACGCTTTCTCCCAAATTAAAGAGCAGTTTTTAAAAAATGGGAAGGGGAATTAACTGTGTTCATCTGTTGATGATTTCCTTTTATTTACAGAAATGGAAGAGAATCTTGTGAGATCTTGAAGACTGGTAGGTTTCTGTTTGCCACTTACATCTGCTGAAAATCCTGAGTTTTTTATGGACTGTATAACCTATATCCCTTTGCCTCGGGGTAAGTCCCACTGAGATGCTTACTTTAGAGTAGGCCTTAGAGAACTGCAGTGTTCGTTGACTTCTTAGAAAAAAGAGAAAACTCTGTTTCAATTTTGCCATAAAGGAGAAAAGTCTTTCGCACAGGTTTAGTTACTGTGCCAGGAGGGCGGGTTTCCATCTTCCTCTTTAGCATTGCCGGATGGAATGCTTGTTGAAGGATGAAACTAAGAAAAGAGCTGGAGAGAATAAGGACGCTTTTTAGAAAAAGACCAGGAAGGAGGTCATTTGAAAAAGGACAACGTGATTCACCATCATTCGTACTGGTTACCCCCAGAACTTGCAAACAATTTTTTTTTAAACCGAGGAATGGTGGTCCAAAAAAACAATATATCCAAGCCCTGGGCATCCACGCAGTACTGTTGATGCTCCTTAAGGACCACTGATAGGATCATCTCCATGGCCATTAAGGATCAGGGATAGGACCAAAAGACCATCGTCTTCTGCATGAACATTGCATTCCGTATTTGTCTATCAGTGGTGTAGTGTGGGCAGGGCCACAGGGGCAGTTGCCTTGGGCGCAGAATTTTGAGGGGTGCAAAATTTCCACCTAGCCACAGAACCATTGCGCAAGGTGGAGCACATCGCGGGCAAAAAAAAAGGGGGGGGCGGGAGTCTTGCTTCCCTTCCCATCTTCTGGCTGCGGCAGCTGCCTCGGTTGCTCTGTTCCCTCTCTGGGCAGGTGGCCGCAGCAGGCAAGGGCCAAGTGAACCTGCTTCCATTCCCAGGGTAAACAAAGCGGGCCGGCTGGCCAAGGGGAAGGGGCGTTGCAGTGCCAAGCCCCCTCCCCTGTTGCTTCCCAAGGTGACCTTGAGGAGAAGCAATACCGGCAGATGCTGGCAACCCACACTACGCCACTGCTCTCTACTGAGACTCTATGCCATGCCGCTGAAGAAGGGGGCTACAGGCTACGAAAGCTGATTCCAAAGAAAAACCTGTTCACTTTTAGAAAGCTACAAGGTTTTCTGTGTTGCAATAGAAGAATGGGCGGGTGGCTTTTGTTTTGTTGGTGGTGGTGGGGAATTGAGGGTCAATGTTGGTTTTTGGTGATTTTATTTATTTATTTATTTATTTATTTATTTATTTATTTATTTATTTATTTGTTTGTTTGTTTATTTATTTATTTATTTACTTACTTACTTACTTACTTACTTACTTACTTACTTACT